TTGGCTTGTCCTGCGGAAGTTCCGGTAAATTGTCTGAGAAGCTAACTCTCATCAACTGCATGTTATCTTGAGGTCATCTGATTCCAAATGCCCTTACTCAACTTCTTACTTTGCTTAGCTTTTCCTTTTCACAGTGCTGGAACAAGCTATGCTCTCATTTGCATTAATTAAAGTTAGCATGGATTCTATGAAACATTTTGAACGATTAGATGTATCCAGTTCCTAAAAATATTCGGAATTTCCTACGAGCACGGATAGTGAGCTTGATGTGCTAAGCAAACTCAAGCACTCAAACTCAAGAAGTAGGCTTTCTACTCGCTGTTTGAAAGGCAATTGAAAGCAAAGCCACAGAATTAGCCAAAAGTGATTTCGGTAACTCTTTAAGTCTTGCACGTTTGAAGTAAAGATAAACAAAGTCTCTTCTTGTTTCGCGCCTATGTCCACGTGGATAACCATGAAGGAAGATAACAGGTTAGGCTTACTTTCTTGCGTAGACAGCATTCCGCATAATTCCGGTTCGATTCGCTTCCAAATGGGCTTCCAATGCGCATTGTTCGAAGTATTCTGCAAAGCGGACAAAATGACAATCGAATACTTGCAGGAATTTCACCAAAGGGCCGCTGCAATTTTGCAATGAATGATTACCTCTTAGCTTATGCACATCAGGCATAATGTGCTCTTGTAGCTCAGTCATTTGAGCGCCAGTCATTTTCAACGCCATTTCCAGATGTTCCAAAGCTTTTTCAGCAGCCTAAAGGTAAAATCTTGGGCCAATGAGCCCTATCAGTAGCCTAAACAATTCGCGGTATTATGTATTAGAAGAGAACATACCTGTAATTGCCTTTCAGCCCCTAATCGAGCCATTACTTGCTCGCGTAGTTCAGTTTCTGTGAGTTCTTTTTGCTCGTTTATTTCCTAGAATAAAACGATATGTCCAGAAAATGGAAAAAATAAGGAGGATATAAGCGACCTTTAGACTCATCAAGAGTTCCTTGGTTTGATTAGTGTAATACTGT